TCGCCTCAGGACTCTGTGTTCTGCTCAGTGAATGTGCAGATGGCTGGAAGTGCCCTCAGTGAAGGGCTGATAACTGTGCCAGATCCAGATTGGAACAGCAGTTTGCTTCTCCCTTGCCTTCTGCCTCGGTGGGCATGAATGGCAACACAGTGGATGTTGTAGTAGCCCTGCCACTTCATGAAACCCCACCGCTGCCCAGCCCAGCCCAGCCCACTGGGCTTTTGATTTTAGCCTTAACGTGATACTGCTTTCTTGTGCTGTGATTATGCCTTGCATATTTAGTCACAGACAATGCTATGGGCAGCCCAGGACCTCCACACACACTGCCCAGGCTTGCACCCCAAAGAAGTCACTTTAGTGCTGCTGAGGCAACTAAAACAATATGAGAGGCTGCAGTTACGAGTTATTGGTCTCTGCAGCCACAGTGTGCACTGTGATTCTCCAGCGGTTTGACTTTGCTCCTAGAAGCGCACTCTATTGTCTCTTGAGGCAGATGGATATTAACGACAACTGGAAAAATTAAATCAACAAAAGTGATTATGACAGTCATCATAAAAGAATGATAAATCTAGATGCCCTTCCAGCATATGTTCTGTTCTGTTGACTGTGTAATAATAATAATAATAATAATCCAGTAACTAACTAGTGTCTTTTATCCATTATTTACTTCAGCTTTATCTTCTTTGAAATTACACCACTAGCTGTTTTATGCAGAATGAAAGCTTTCAGGTTTTACTGTAAATTTTACAAGCATGTCCCCTATTCACAGACATACCTAGGGGGTCTGTTAAAAATAATAATTATGTACCAGTTATTCTCCAGCCACTAAAAGATTGCTGTAATTATGCTTCTTTATATAAAGTTGCAATATCTAATCGTACATAAATAAGTCATACAAAAAATATTATTGTTGTTCTTATCATCATCGTTATCATCATTATTATTGCACAATACATCCATTGTAATGTCATTTCGTGGACGTTTTCATTGTTGGACCTAAACTGCAGAACTTAAAACATAAAATACGCAAGTGGGGAACATTCCGAAAGGAAGATAATAAAAGCATAAGCGAGGTTTCCTTAACCAGGTGCCCTCCAGATGTTTTAGCCTACAACTCACATCGGTGCCTGCCGGCACAGTCTGAACAGCATTAGTTCTTTATATGTTTTGATTGGGGGGGGGGTGAGGAAGAGAGGGGAGGTTAGTAGGTGGGGATATATCCCAAACTGTTGGAATTGATAATAATATACAGGCTCTAAGTTATTTTATCTATCAGGGCTGAATTCTTTAATATTGTGGTCTTAAGTAATGGTAGAATTAATACATTTCTACCCAGCAATCATAAAAGAAAACCACATTTGCTTCATAATAGAACCTTAAACTTACCGCAACATAATGCTATTTTAGAAGTACGAAGTTTTCATTTACCATATATACTGATGTATAAGCCAAACCGAATATAAGCTGAGGCACCTAATTTTAGCACAAAAAACTGGGAAAACTTATTGACTCGCGTATAAGCCGGTTCACCACACCACAAACCTCCTGGTGGCGGCAAAGGCGGAGGAGGAGGAAGGAGCAGCCCGAAAGGACCCTCACTCAAGTATAAGCCGAGGGGGGCTTTTTCAGCAGGGGCTTTTTCAGCATAAAAAAATGTGCTGAAAATGTCGGCTTATACTCGAGTATATATGGTACTTTGATATCTGCCTATGTAGCTGTTTATATTTGATTCTGGTGTTTCGGGGCGGGGGGCGGGGGATGAAGAGAACATAGCAATATTGACTGATGAGCCAGCAATGGTGTGCTTAGTTTGATCTCTAGAATATATTTATTGATTCCTATAGAAAAAGAATTAATCAGCGTTATGCCTGAAAGGCATGAATGTACGATTTACAGAAAACCATAAAAAAACTTTAAATAGCTGTTAGGAAAGCAGCAAAGGCTACAGGAGAGATACCTACACATCAATTTACAATGCCTGAGCGAATCATATCCTATAATAGGTTATATATGGGGCCAATTTTTTGAAGACCGTTCAGAATAAAGCAGCGAGGTTAGTAGCTGGTTTCACTGACTTTCAAAGAGCTTCAGAGGCTTCCATTTTGCTTACATGTGCAATCAGCACTGGAAACAGCTTTTTTGGATCCAATGCTCTATTTGTAGATTGGAGCCTCTGCCCTATAAATCTGAGTTGATACAAATTTGCATATAATTATGTAATCTGCAAATATATGTCCTCCTTTGCAGGTGGAGTGAAAGGTCAAAAATAAACCAAGGGGCCACACAACTGATAAGGTTTTTGACAGGTGTCAACAGATGTTTTTCCCATAATTGTATTTCTACACTAGAAAAAGCTTAGCCTATTAAGTTTCTGCCTGTCACACAGCTGTTAAAGGCCCAAGAGCCCTGCTTCCCAGCAATGGAATTCCTATACCATACAAAAATTCACATTTTGTGAGTTGTAAACCAGTTATGTTGTTGCTGGTTCTTCCTCACTTGATCTTAGGATGGCAGTGATACACTAAGAACCAGACCAGGAGTGGTATTTCAAATGCGGAGGGGTGTGTGTGTGTGCAGTGATAGATGTGAAGGTCAATAGAGATTTAAGCTGTGTCGCTGCCAGGTTTCAGATGCTCATGTATGGATACATAAAGATTAAACTGTTAAAAGGGAACAAGTGTATTCTAAGCATATCTACAGTATTGTGATTATTTACAGTATGTATACCTCATAATGGGACATGGGTGGCTCTGTGGGTTAAATCACAGAGTGTAGGGCTTGCCGATCAGAAGGTTGGCGGTTCGAATCCCCGTGACGGGGTGAGCTTCTGTTGCATGGTCCCAGCTCCTGCCAACCTAGCAGTTTGAAAGCACGGCAGTTCGAAGGTAAACGGTGTTTCCATGCGTGGCTCTGGTTCACCAGAAGTATTCATGCTGGCCACATGACCCAGAAGCTGTACGCTGGCTCCCTCGGCCAATAAAGCAAGATGAGCGCCTCAACCCCAGAGTCCTCTGCGACTGGACCTAATGATCAGGGGTCCCTTTACCTCTTTATACCTCATAATAGATCCATTTCAATTGGGGTTTAGGCCCGATTGTGGCACAGAAACTGCTTTGGCCACCTCTGTCAGGAGAGAGACAGGGGAAATGTGTCCTTGTAAATTCTTTTTGACCCATCAGTGGCTTTTGTTACCATCAGCCATGGTATCCTTCAGGAGTGCCTGTCCCGAGTTGGTAGTGGGTAGCATTGCTTTGTGTGGTTCCGGTCCTTCTTGGATGGTTGTTTCAAAAGGGTGATGCTTGGGGAGTGTTCTTTGGCCCTGTGAAGAATTCAATGTGGGGTCCTTCAGGATACAATTTTATCCCCCATGCTGTTTAACATCTACATGAAGCAGCTGAGTGGGGTCTTCTGTTGTCTTAATTGCTCACTTCCCCCAGGCAGTTACCTCACAAGGAAATTGGTTATGACTTAATTAACAGTTAAGTAATGTTAATTTCCTAGGATTTAGAGATGTCTAATACACATTTTATGATGTCTGCCTGACATAATTAGCTCTCACATATGCTAACTCTAGGTGCTTTGAAGTGGCTTTCACACACAATCTAATACACATACGGGTCCAGCGACCAGTTTTAGCACACCAGCCTTAATTAAGTTCTGGCACTAACTTGATCGAGAATATAGGATGTCTTGCACCCCAAAATTCCTAATAATATCTTTGAAGAGTAAGCTTCCATATGTGTTGTCGGGAGGATTTTGAGCATCACATGGCAGGATAGCCTCAAACAAATATGTTCTGCTCTCCCAGGCTCACATTCCTATCATGTTTGCACTTCTGTCTCAGCAATATCTGTATTGATTTGGTCATATACACAAAATGCAAGATGGCAGGATTCTCAAGGATCATCTGTATGCGGAGACAGCTTCAGGCACCAGGCCTGTTGGCAGCCCAACTCTGCATTATAAAGATGTCTGCAAATGTAACACAAAGACTGGCAATATCCACAGTGCCTGGAGACAGGTAGTCAGGCATGTATCCACAGCAGTGACCAGAGGAGAAATGACCACTGGGAGGAGTGCAAAGAGAAGAAACTCTATGGCGCACCTGTAGCAGCAAAACCAGGCACCTGCATCTGCCCTACCTGCAGTGAAACATGTCTCTCCCGTATTGATATCTGTAGCCACCTCAGGCTCTGTAACTCTCCAGTGGTTTGACTTTACTCCCAAAGGCACACTCCTCCATTGTCTCCCAAGACAGATGGATGCCAACAGCAGTAGGCTTCATGTCAGCCATGTAAACAGTTCTGTGGCCACATATACACCTCTCCATCTGCAATGCAGACAAGCAAAGAGGCATTGTTAGAGTCCAAGGACACATTCCAGCCCGGCAAAAGCACTTGGGGAGAGTACAGATTAGGGCAAAGGAGGGTTTTATTCTTGCAGAGTGGACATGGCATTGGAGAATCCTAAAGGATGGGTAGAGAACCAAAGAGGGCTACATTTGGCCTCTGGATCTTTGGTGCATCCACCCAGCCTTACAATTTACAAAATCCTGATGCCATATACCATCCTGGATTGTACCAAATGCTGCTTAGAAAGTTACCTGTACTAGCAGTAAGTCTACTTGTTACATTTTTGAGAATAGCACTGCGGGGTTTTGCGTTATATCCTGTCATAACAGTGCTCTGATTCACATAATAATTGATGCCACTTAAATGTTTCCACACAAAAGTTGTTAGATAATAATAATAAATAATATTAATAATAAACAAACACACAAATAAATTATTATTTTTATTTATACCCCACCCATCTGGCTGGGTTTCCCCAGTCACTCTGGGTGGCTCACAGCATATATCGAAAAATACTAAAATATCAAACATTTAAAACATCCCAATACAGGGCTCCCTTCAGATTTCTTCTAAAAGTCAGCTAGTTGTTTATTTCATTGACATCTGAATGGAGGGTGCTCCACAGGGCGGGTGCCACTACTGAGAAGGCCCTCTGCCTGGTTCCCTGTAAATTCACTTCTGTCGGTTCCCTCACTGTGAGAAGTGAATCTACAGGGAACCAGGCAGAGGGCCTTCAGAAGGCCCTCAGAGCTGGACCTCAGTGTCCGGGCTGAATGATGGGGGTGGAGATGCTCCTTCAGGTATACGGGGCCGAAGCTGTTTAGGGCTTTAAAGGACAGCACCAACACTTTGAATTGTGCTTGGAAACGCACTGGGAGCCAATGAATATCCTTTAGGACCGATATTATAGTCTCTCTCTCTCTCTCTCTCTCTCTCTCTCTCTCTCTCTTTCTCTCTCTCTGTGTGTCTGTCTTTCTGTCTGTCTGTCTGTCTGTCAATTCTTGAACTATAAGCAGATATATTTTGCAGAGCTTTTCAACAATAGAATTTCATGCCTAGCATTATGGAATAAAGTTCATAGTTCCCCAGACATAACTGTGAAGGGAATACTGTATGTATAAAAGAGTGAGATAGGCAGCAGTGGAGAAAATAAAGAGAGAAAAGGATTCTCTGTACATCTTTTATTTTGATCAGGAACTGGGCCAAAAGGATTGAGTTTTTCACCTTTTACATTCATTTCATTGCTCATGTAGGCAAACCTACAATAACACATAGACTATGGATACCCATAATCCATCTGGGGGGGGACGCTTGCTTTTCCAGCATCTCGTTACTGGGGTCGCTCTTACACATTTCAGCACACTGTTTTCTTTGGAACATTTCAACCATATGTATAATTCTACATCCATTGCGACAGCATTGTTATTCTCTTTATCATTTTGTTATGCTGATGATGTTGCCTTTTAATATTGGCATCATCCAAGAACTCCCATGAATGTCACTGAGAGTTCTGCAGAAAGTGGTATGGAGTCAAAGTTGTCATCCATTTTAGTTCATCTTGGCTGCTCTACATTAGGCTTTGATGTACATCAGAGCACAGCTTGTTGTAGTTGATGGTTCTGCAAACCTAGCAGGGTCCAGTTAAACAGAGAGATTTCCTGAAATCAACCCCCCCAACCCCCCCTCACGGTTTTCACCTCAAGCACCATCTATATTGTGGTCTTGGCTTCAACAATGGTGAGCAGCATCTCTTCCCTCCCCCCAAACTAAGGGCAGAAAGCTGTCCCTCTAAATTGACTTATGATACCATGTGCCTTCGTTCACTTATGCTTTCTTCCTCACATTAGAGTCTTGTGGGGGCAAATGGTATTCTCTAGCAACTGGGAGCATAGTTGCCGTTGCTGGTAAGTTTGATCAATACTTTCCATCTGTTCATAACCCTGCCCTCCAGTTTGCCAAAATGCCCCCTTCTAGCTTTGCATCCTGTGAACAGTTGGATAAGTTTGGGGATATTTTGGCTCAGAAGTACTACTACTATTCCTGCTTTTTTTTAATTTCCATGTATAAAGCAGAAAGTAATTAAATGAACATCCAGAAATACAAGTGTCTAAAATGATTCTGAATATATAAGACTACATTTATCAAATGCAGAAAGCTAAGCACTTGTAAAATTCCCACTTGGCAAAATGTGATTTTACACATAATGAACTGTTGCGTTTATTGTACTTTTTATTCATGTACAATAAATGAAAGCTGTTGCTTCCATTTGCCATGATTTCCTTTGGAGGCAACAACTCCCAAGACAGCAGAACACCAAAGAAACTGACGTTTATAATTGATTTTGACACTGTCTTTTACAATATTGTAATGTTTTCAATTTCTGTCTATGTAAATTTGAAATGTATGAATGTGTTTAGCATATTGATCATGAAATTCTTTGTAATCTTTTCCCCCATAACCTGAAAATTAGGCAGCAGGATAATAAATTGATATTTGTGTTTTTAGGATGATTGTGTATTATCTTCAAATAATCTTTGCACAGCAAAGTCTGGAAAGGTGGTGTCTACTCCTATTCCAGTTTTAAGTATAACTATTTGGCAGAAAGCCAGTGATAGCCCCACTGATTTTACTTCAGCAAAAGTTGCACTTATTTTTGCCCACACATTGACAAGTGGTAGCTACTAGGTTGATGATTTTTCACTTGTAGTACAATCCTAGGTATATTTACACAAAAGAAATTCTATTTGTTTTCATTGGGATTCACATTATAAAAGCAGCAGCGTTGAACTATTCATAAATTCCTATAGTCACATTTACCTTCACCCAAATGCTTGCCAGAAGAAATGTGTCTTCACTTGTTTCTTAAAATAAAATAATAAAAGGTGGCAGCTAGGTGAACCTCTGTGGGGAGAACACTCCACAGGTTTGGGGACACCGCAGAAAAGGCGCTTCCAGTTGCTCCAGTGCTGCACATTTTATCCTGTGCTGAGACCACTGGTTGGGCCTTCTCCACCAACCTTAAGGTGCAGGCAGGTTGTTTCTAAATATTGGGAGGCTTCCAAAATTTTCAGACAGCAGTACTTCCAAAGACCAGTTGCTGGAAACCACAGGAGGGGAAAGTGTTCTTGTGCTCATGTGGTTTCCCATATGCATCTGGTTGGCCACTGTGAGAATAAGATGCTGGACTAGAATGGGCCATTGGCCAGATCCAGCAGCTATTCTTATGTTCTTACCTGGAATATCCTTATGGTGTGTATAGTGATGTGAATATTCTCAAAAATGAGAATATTCTTGAGAATATTCTCTGGTAGAAAATTCTCCTGAGAATATTCTCCATGAACTGTAAATTCTAATGTAAGAAGCAGTTTTACAACCCACATTTAAAAAATCTAGTAAATAATAAGTCAAGCTGTGATATTGCCAGTGTAAGTAATGAATAATGGTTTTTTTTAATCCAGTTACATTACTGGGCATTGTGTCATTCACCATTGGGAGTTCTGAAATTTGAGCTACATAAAACTTTTTTTTTTTTTAGTTTTAAAAATGCTATTCATTTAATTTGATGAACATTTGAATTCCTATGTATTTCAACTATATGTAATAGCCTTTTTTCTATTCTAGTGTTACCTTATTCTTAGCAATTCTATACCCTTGGCCATACAGGCCATATAATGATAATATATTTAATGTTAATGGCTTCTTTTTTATATGTATGTATATAGTTTTGTTTATCAAGCTGTGTTTTAGTCACCAAAACAGTTAAGTGTTAGAGCTATTAGAAGCACAAGATAGCCCATGCATTAAAATTACATAATTTTCAATGCATTGAAATGAATATTCTCCTATTTTAAATGAAAATTCTCTAATATTCTTATTAATTGAGAATATTCTCCAAAATATTATTCTCGAGAATTTAACATCATTAGGTGTGTATGTATCTGTTTCTGAACTTCAAAAATGTGCTTCTTTAAACAATAATGAAGTTTGAATCTTTGACTTCTTTTTAAATAGCATACACCTAGTGTCACATTTCAGGTACTACAAACTGTGTTTCAAAGTCCCCTCAGTCAGAGAAGCGGTTTGGTATGTGCCACAGGAGTGGGGTAGAATCACAGAGTTGTAGAGTTGGAAAGAACCCCAAGGGTCATGTAGTCCAACCCCTGCAATGCCAGAAGAGATATTGATTGAGAACTTCAAGCCCTAAGGCCCCTAGGGCATTGCGTTGAATTGATTGCACAGTTCTTTGAACCTGGACAAATTGTGAATTTCTGAGGAGAATGTATGAGCAACGTAATCAGAATTGCATCAAAATAAGTTCCTGTCTTTTATAAAGAAAGGATCATTGAAAGTCCTTCACACATCAAATATGTGGTGGGTATTTTTCTTTCCCTTTTTTTTGGTCAAATCCTTTCCTTTCCTAACTGTGTCTGTGACCTTTAACCTGTGATTTACAGAAAAAACAATTACAGGCCTTCTGAAATCAGTTTTGCATAAATATCATTCTTTCCATTCTGCTTTGCCAAATCTGGATCTTGAGACATAGCTGAAGGTGCTGACTGAAGTGTTTTTGTCAAACAGCAGCAGCTGTTCAGCAGTTCCTATTGCTTGGCTAATGCTTCGGGACCAGCAGATTATTTAGATTTCATTAACATTTAATTAGCCCACAGCACCTATGTCTTACCAAGTGACAGATGGAGGAAGAGAACAGAATGGCCATCGTACCGTTGTTTGGTTTTTTAATTTACTATTTACAAACTGTTCTCCTGAGTGTTGCCCCTGTATCATAATTTGGCATGAAGCTATTTTATACCTTAATTTAATTGGCTAATGGACAGCAAAGCTTATGCTAAAAAGTAACACATCTTTGTAACACCTTTTTTTTAGAAAAAATGTTTGATAATGAATCAGTTGGGTGTCCTTCAACATGCCAGTTCCTTGCTAGGAAGTTATAAATGATAACCAACCCCTCCCCGCTCCTTCAAATTACATCTAAACATACAAATTATTGTAAGCTTCCAAACTCAGTGTGTGGATTGAAATGATATTGGTTACCTGTGTGATGTGATCAGCTGCATAGTTAATATAGATTAGAGTAATGAGTTTGGGGTTTCAGAGAGAAATGCTTCCTGGTGTAAATATGAAAATTGCTATCAATACTTTGGAGTAGTTAATTTCCAAAGCAACACATAATTTGTCTGTTATGTAGAACAGCAGGAAATTAATTCCCATGAACAATTCTGCCGACCCTGTAGTAATTAGAGGGTGGTGGAGGAATGTAATTGTATTCCTACTTGGGTTACCTGAATTCCAGGCTTCCTAGTTTCTAGTTCTATGGATAATAATCTCCAGTTCCTTTTTTTTTTAGAGTGAACATTGGTGGGGTAGAAATATTTACTGGAAAACACATTGTGCAGGTAGTCATCAGGTTTTGTTGTTGTTTCCTCAAGACTCACTGAAGCTTCCAGAAATCTCCACTGCTGTCCTAGAGGAAAGGGGGTATCTGTTGATTCATCATATATTCACGGAATGTAATAAATACAAAGTACTGGTCCCTTTTAACTGGCACTGTCCCTTGATCTGCTTGTCATCTCCCTAACAATAGCAATCAACCAGTCAATCATATCTGGAAACAAAGAGTGCATAATCATTCTGATAGGTTTAGAAATAAGACATTTCTAGAAGCTTGCGGAAATTGCTGGAAGTAGCCTTCCTGAACTTGATTTTATCAGT